CGCGCTAGCCTAAGGGCCACCTTAGCAAAGCGCATCCCAGGCTGCATAGCCGCACTACCCTACCCAACCATACCACACATAAACATGACACTACCCCCGGGGTTTACACAGACGAGCCGGCGAAGCAAGAAGAGCGCCAGAAGAAAGGGCCCTAGCCGGCGGGGCCCAGCCAGGACAAAAGGAGGTCCCACAAAGCGCCTACACCGGCCGCATTTGCGGTCGGGGTAGACGACGGATGGGGCCCACCTACGAAGGCTGTCCAGGCCTACACGAGATGAGGCAGGATAAAGAGGGATAATCCCCCTCGATCCCAAATCATTGAGGCCAATTTCTAGCCATAGAATAATGGCGCGTAGCCATAGAATAATGGCGCGCGAATATGATCGTACTATAGGTGGTCTGTGGCTCCAATCATATGTTTTGTGGCTCCACCGCTCCAATTGTATTATATGTTTTGTGGCTGCAATTTGCCGCCAAATAAAATAGTCCAAGTGCTGTCAAATACGTTAATAAATAATTGCAATTAATAAAAATATTAATTGTATATTTAAATTTCCTTATTTTGCATGGCGTGGTAAAGTGTGAATTTAATTATTTCGGCAATTTACGAAGTGTGGTGTACATACGTATATTAGAATAACGTTAATGAAAAACGAAAATATGGATGCAAACAATACATCCCATCAAGTATCCAAAACACCTAGGTAAGCAATGAAAGATACAGGTAATAAATGTTTGTTAATTTTGATATATTCATACTTAAAAACTGGTTATTTTTATATCTAATAGTTATATGTATCCATTGTTGATAAATTGTTTTATCACATAGATTTCAAATAATATATGTTTCCATTGTCACTATAACATTAATGTTTAAAAAAGATGTTAAAAAAGCAGTGGTGTAAAAAAATTTATGAATATCATGGTTTATTAAAAAGAAAATGTTTGATTTAGAAAAGAACGTAGTAATGAAATTTAAAAAGTAACGAATGGAAGAAAGTGGAACAGATTTATACTTGCGTAGATGAATTTCTGTAAATTCAAAATATATTTGCTAGTGACTGTGCAAATATTTACTGAAACAGACTATCTTTACACCTTGTGTAATTATTTGTGAGCAGAACCAGAGCTATTTATTTTACTTGTATTTTTATGAGGGAGAAATTCGGGGAGAAACCACCAGACTAGACTAAAATAATCACTTTTATATTTAATTGTTCAAGTATTAGGTACTTAAGTAAATGGGTGAGAGGGGGATGAAGGGGCATGATGTGTGCACACATACATGTGTTTCAATAGGTATCCAAATATTAGTATTACTCAAACTTGTACACTAAATTACTCCTAAGGTTCCCTTCTCCATAAACTAATAATATAGATTAAAATGTAAAATAATATTACCATAAATATTTTTCAAAATTAGGTCTAACATTTTACGGCCCTGTGTTCCGTTACTTAAACCTGAAAATGATACACTGATATTTCAAGAATTAGAATTGGACCATTACATTGGAAAAGTATATGCTGGAATGCCGGGACCCCAAACTGGTTTGGTACCAATTATTCGTATGTTTGGAATTACAAAGACGGGCAACAGCGTTTGCTGCCATATTCATGGTTTCTCACCATATTTTTATGTGAATCTACCTGAGAGCTTTACTACTGCAAATTTGGCACCATTTAAGGCAGGTTTCACATTTTATCAAAGATAACAAATTAATACCTATGGTATATCTTTTGATGTAAAGTTTGAAGTTTTATTGCATGTTTTATATTAACAGTGTATTATAATGTCAAAGAATTCAGTAACAATTTTTTTTTTTTTAGAACAAGTTGAATGATGCTGTACTTGCAGACACGAGACTGGCTAATAAAAGTGAAATCTCAGAGGCAGTGCTTATGGTAGAATTAATAAAAGGAAAATCTTTAGTAGAATACACTGGAGAGAACGATACAAATTTTGCTAAAATAACATTAGCTCTTCCCAAATTTGTTCCTGTGGCAAAACGGTTATTAACTACTACTCTTGTTTATCAACCTCTTGCAACTCATAGTTTTTTCCCTTTCGAGTCGAACGTCGACATTGAAACTAGGTATTACTGCTTTATTAAATTTCATTATATTCTTAACATATAACTTTTAGGTTCATGGTGGACTGTAACATTCTAGGTTGCTGTTGGATAGAGTTGCCAATTGGTAAATGGTATTTCAGATCAGAAAAGTCGTCATTTCCAGTCACCAGTAGATGTCAAATTGAGGTTGATGTATCATGGGCAGACTTTATCGCACATGCTCCCGAGGATAAATGGGCATCGGTAGCTCGGTTTAGAATTCACAGTTTTGATATTGAATGCGCCGGAAGAAAAGGTAATACAATGTGGTAGTAATCACAACAGTTGTTTAAATTAATTAGGTAACTGTAGAAAGCAATATATTTAATGTACTTTGTTTGGTAGGTATTTTCCCTGAACCTGATGTTGACCCAGTAATTCAAATTGCAAATGTCGTAAAGCTTCATGGGGAAAATGATATTCTTACGAGAAATATATTTACACTTAAATCTTGTGCTCCCATTGGCCATGCAGAGGTAAGTGAACTTATCTGTTTATAATAAAATTATATAAAAAAAGTAAATAATCCGTTGATGTTAATATATTAAATATTTGTATTCTAAAATCATGTCTGGGTAAAAGTGAATTATTGTCTATAATAAATAAAGAAAAGCTTCATTCAAGGTGTATATCAATCTGGAAAACCTGGAAAACTTGAAATTATTAGGGAATTCCATAAATGTTAACCATCAGGGAATTTCTTAAATTTTATTAATCTTGTTAAAATTCCAATTGTAATTGGTCTTTATGGTTCTCTACTGGTTTATGCTTATAATCCCATTAACGTTTTCTTTAATATTTACTAAACCAAACTTTATTATTGCTACACCTTGAAAATTATTAAATATATACTCGTAGAAAGGCTTAGATGAACAAAGTTAACAATATTCATATTCATTTCGATTTCGTTAAGGAAAAATTGTAAATCTCTTTTTAAAATGGGTTGTATAATAATTATTTCTGAATATTTCTTTAAATATTGTCTAGTTTCTTTTATACTAAAATAATAATCATTATATTACAAGTTCTGTGAATTAATTTTGAGGGATTTTTTTTGTGAAATCAAGGCTTTATTGGGAAAAATTGTATACATTATTATTTTTCAAAGTATTGTCCATAGCTAGCCACTACTTTTTCCCATCTTTCTGCATTATATGGAGTCCACGTTGAAGGAACAACTAATTTTTTATGCTATCCATTGGAAGCACTGCTTAGTTAGGGTCATGTTCCATGAAACGGAACAAACAGTAATCCGATGGAGCAATATCTGGTGAATATAACGGGTGTAGTAAAATATCCCATTTCAGCGTTTCTAAGTATTTTTTGACTTCATGAGCAACATGTGGTCGAGCCTTGTCATGTTGAAAAATTATTTCAATCTGCCTTTGCTCGAATTGCTACCGTTTTTCCTTCAATGCACTGCTCAAACGCATGAATTGTGTTCAGTAGCGTTCACCAGTGATGGTTTCATTCAGTTGAAGCAGCACATAGTACACAACACCAAGCTGGTTCCAACAAAATACAGAGCATGAACTTTGAATATTTAGCCTTGCCGTCTATATTGGTGCATGGCCAGGCAAACCCCAAGATTTTCTACGTTTAAGATTATCATAGCGTATTCATTTTTTATTGCCAGTGACGATACCCTTTCTTTTTGCCGTTGAAACAATTGTTCGCTCGTGAAAAATCGCCGTTCAAGATCTTTCAGCTTCAATTCACATGGCACCCAATTTCCTTGCTTTTGAATCATATCGAGTGCATTTAAACGTTTGGAAACCGTTGTGCGGTCAACAATCAACAATTCAGCAAGTTCATCTTGCATTTCACATGAATCTTGGTGGTCGAGTAACAGGGCGTCCTTATGTTCACTGTAAATTTCCAACAGCACTCGATGACTTACAGCAACATTTTTCTTTGAATTAAACAGGAAAAATGAAACTTTCCGCAACTGGCGTTTTAGTGGCTCCTAATTCGACATCTTTGGAGCTAAGAAAAAATATGTTGTTAACGCATCAGCAAAATGACACATAATAAAAAGTAAAGTCTAATGACAGAGCTGTGACATGGATATAGAAGTGTTCGACGCGATATAGCATAAGTTCTATTGTAAATCCCTCAAAATTAATTCACAATCTTTTTCCACCACAGTATTCATTTTTGTGCAGATTTTATGTCGACTCCTGTATGATTTTTAAAATAATCATATCTTGTTAAATATTTGGGTTGGAGATATTGCAAAAAAATGTAGGAAATGGTAAAGAAGGAAAAATCAAAACTAGTACAGAGCTTATATCTACATATTGGAGAAAAAAATTAAATTTGCCTGGAAAATCTGAAAATATCAGGGATTTTTTTTATCAAAATTTAGTATTCACTATGTTCATTTTTCAGGTTTTTAGTTTTGAAAGGGAAGAAGACATGTTGGAAGCGTGGGCGGATTTTGTGAGGAATTTGGACCCCGACATTTTTACCGGTTATAATATAAATAACTTTGACTTTCCGTATCTTATAGAGAGAGCTAAACATTTGAAGTTAAAGCATTTTCAGTTTTTAGGCAGATTATTGAATGTTAGGTAAGATTTTAATGTTTAAATTACCATTAATTAGAATAATACAAATTTACAAAATATTCCAGGTCAGAAGTAAAAGAGACGGTTACCCAAACCAAAATTGGTCGCAGAGTATATAAATCCATTAATTTTGAGGGTAGAGTACCGTACGACATGTTATTGGTAATGAAACGTGATTTTAAACTGCGATCATACTCTTTGAACAGCGTTTGTCAGGAAATTTTAGGAGAACAGAAAGAAGACGTGCATTACAGCATAATTACAGATTTGCAAAATGGAGACGATCAAACTAGAAGGAGGTGAGACACAAATTATTTTTTTAAATTAATTAATTTTTTACAGAGTGCTGTAATATTTCATACAAAATTACACAGTTGATCCTCTGAGAAAAGTTCATATGAATATATCGCAACAGCTTCTATAAATTACTTTTTTTACTTGATCTTTTTTTATTTCAAAAATATCGACTTTGATTGTTTATAAAAAAAAATCCTGTTGACCAATTGTAAAAATCGTGTGTACTTCACTAAATAATCACACGATGAAGTTACAGTTCAATTTTCTAGTCGATCAGATGAAAACTCTTGAGTTCTGCTGCTCGCCGATTTCAATAACATGGTTTCGGGAAAAACACGTTTGAAGTTTGAGATTTCTGTAACTTTTGGAAATCATAATAATATGGTGCATAAAAATTTTTTTACTATCACTCCTTGTACCATATAATTGCCCTTCCATAGCCGTATTTTTGCTCTTCCTGCTTATTTCATGGTCATGAAATCAGTGAAACGATACCCAAAAGATTCATTTACTTCTCTTTCACACTTATCATTATTAAGTTTGAGTTTCTTTCCCGACACACTCACGAACTCCGGATCGTACTCGAATGAATGACGGTTAGGCAGACGTCTATTTCCAGTTTTACTTCGCTTACGGGCTGTACTTTATTTTTACTGCCTTTACGGCCTGCATACAACTTATCACTCATATTTTACCAATGCAAACAGATCAACAAACTCAAATAATAACACAAACACAATAATAGCACAACTCGAACTACAGTGTACAGCTGATTGACGACACACATGCTCTAACCATCGTAAAAATCTTGTATTCAGTATACATGGCTGGAAAATCCACATAGTCGATCTGCCTTCACATGAGAGCGACAAAGTAAAGAAAACCGTGCGATAGACAAGGATGGCTATAGTGAAGACGTTTCATAATCTGAAGTCACCGCCCTTTTCGGGTTAGAAGTGGGAGTGACTATTCAGATTATGAAACATCTTCAATATAGCCATCCTTGTCTATCGCACGGATTTCTTTACTTTGTCTTTTCATGTAAAGGCAGATGGACCATGTGGATTTTCCAGCCCTGTATAATAATGGTTTTTTTGCTTGTGGTGACATCTATGGTTCACTTTTGAAGAATTTTCTCGATGATCGGTAAGTTATAGGTGTTTTTACGTGCATAAAATTCAAAAATGCTGTATCGATGATAGAAGCGAAATATGCTATTTTTTCGCTTCGGAATTGCTTCAGAAAAATTAATTTTACGGAATTTTTTCATGTAAAAAAGTTTTTGATTATGAATTTAGCAATGTTTTACCGTATTTTAGGCCAATAAAAACAAGTGATATAACCCCTTAATAAACCTGCAGTATAATGTAGGACGTAATTTTATTCTCTCTCGTAGATTAGCAGTGTATTGTATAAAAGATGCAGAGCTGCCATTGAGGTTACTGGGCACGGTGCTCAGTTTTACAAACGATGTAGAAATGGCCAGAGTAACCGGAGTGCCCATTACTAGCTTGTTAACCAAAGGAGAACAAGTTAAAGTTGTCGCCCAACTTCTTAGACATGTAAGATATTTAAAGTAGTTGTGCATTAAGTGGAAGGAAAGTTTTTAAACTAATGATTTTAGGGAAAAGCGGCCGGTTATTTTATGCCGGCACATCAGGGGGGCCCTTCAAGTGACCAGTACGAAGGAGCCACAGTTATCGAACCGATAAGGGGATATTATACTGAACCGATTGCAACACTCGATTTTAGTTCTCTGTATCCTAGTATTATGATCGCTCATAACTTGTGCTACACTACTCTTTTGAGAGCTCCTATGAAAGAAAAATTAGGGTGAGTATTATCTTCATAAATATATTTATACTTCATTATAAAATTACCTGTTAAGCAAGTATTGAGTAAAAATCAATAATAAGTTAAATTATATTAGCCATTTTTTTAATTCAATTTGAGGTGCGACACGTAGTGTAACTGATGCAAATTTGAATAGGAAAATTTTTTTTTTAATTTTTTCTTAATCTACGAAAACACTAATAGGTCAACCATCAGAGTGAACAAAGAGGCTGTTTTTTCGCTTAAGTATTACAGCAAAGTTCATGTAGTTCCTTTTGCAAAATACTTAGTAAATGAAAACCCAAGTGATTTCCCCAGCAAAGTCGTGAACAATAAAAACAGCAAAAAATGATTTTTTTGTTTTTTTTATAATATCTTGAAAAATAATTATGTAATTGTCTTACTGTCAATAGGACTTTTGTAGAGAATAAAAAAACCTATAAAATGGTTTTTTCTGTGACCTGATCGGTTCATTTTTTACAGAGAAAATCTGGAAAAGCCTCTAAAATAGACCTTTTTTCAAAAATTCATAACTCGCTCAAGTTTGAAGCTGGGAAAACAATCTTGCGAAAAATGACAGCTAGTAATATGTAGTTTAATCGTGCGTAAGATAGTTTCTGTCCGATCCTTAGTTTTTGCACAATTGCATTATAAACAAATTTGGGTCTTTTTTTGCACAGCGTAGCGATTTATCAAAAACGGCCTGATTTAAATTCTGAAAAAGGCATCTGAAAGTAGACGACAAAATCTCCAATTTGTATATCTCGGATTTTCGCCTGGGTGATGGGAAATATGCTAAAAATGCCCTTGAAAGTTGCCCGAAATGATCGTAAGTACGCTCATAAGTGTCGGGTTTTACAATTTTTATTGTTTAAAAAAAAATTGTTCACGACTGCTAGGGAAATAATTTGGATTTTTATTCACTAAGTATTTTTCAAAAGGTAATACATGAAATTTGCTGTAATATTTAAGTGCGCCAAAAAATCTCTATTGGTTGGCTTATAATATTTGTGTGATTTGAAGTAAAAAATTCAATTTGTCATTAATTTTGGAATTATGTTGCGAGCAATTTTTGAGATACACACAATACTAACGTACTTTCGTTTGTAAATGTAAATTGAACACAAACTTTTTCAACAACATCTGTTAATAGTATTAGAGAAGTTGGAAATCAAAAGGTAAGTCATTGTCATTAGGCTGTGCCCTTCCACCAGGTTTCTATATGCCGCAGGTAGTCGTTTCGGAGCACTTGGGGAAGATCTCGAAATTTCAAAGAAAAAAATTTGTACAAGCATAATACTTCATTCTTCTTTTTAATCTGAAGGTTCAAAGCATCTTAAATCAATAAAAAATATTTTGTTTCTGAAAATTATACCTTGATACCTCTTAACACATTCACTGCGTAAGTATTTTCCGAAGTTTTTTTTTTTTGGAAAACAGCACAAACTTCAAGTTTTTAGTAATATGTATTATCGAAAGTCCATAATTTGCACAAAAAGTTTTCAATTTTTGGATGACGCACCAAATGTGTCATACGCACTGGTGACAATCAGAAATTATTATTCCACAAATCGAAATGTTTACATACTTTGTTTTAGAAACTTTTCTTGGTCACTACTGGAGTGACTGGTAACACCAAATTTAGCAACAAACAATTTTTGCTTTTTAATTTATATCAATGTAATGTCTCAGAAATTTTTAATTTAATTTTAGAAGTAGGTAGGCACTACCATAATTATGTAAAGCTGTAATTCAAGGTAATTGCTCAAAATATCCACCATTTTTAATACAATTTTATAACGTTTTCTTAAAGATCTTTGAACATCAAACAATATCCTGAGGGTTATTTTTAATTTTATTACCGCCCTCTTGAACTTTTTTTGCTCCAATTCTTCACTAGAACGAACTTTTCTCTGCACTACGTCATCAGATGTAATTCGAAGTAAAATAAAAAAAAATATAATAAGAAATATATACAGGGTGTCTCAGATTTAATCGGGAAAATTTAATAATAATAATAATAAGCTTTCTTTTTGAGATGTGTTAAAATTTAAATAAACATCTTTTTTTTCAAGTATCTCAAAAATATGGCATATTAAATTTATTTTTCCAGGGTTGGACAGATAAACAAATTTTATATTTGTTTTCTTGAAATGTAAGTCAGATAATAAAATTACTCAATAAAAAAATAATATCAAACTCATAAAAAAGCTGTGGCGTTTTCAAATCTATCTTTGAAATATGATTAGGATGCCACAGCGGATCAGATAATTAAAACTATTTTTTTTTTAATTCAGCCCCTTAGTGATTACTAAAAATATGCAATTTACCAAAATCACCCAAAAAAAATTTTATTAAATTTAACACCATGTACATTGAAAACGAAGCTTTAAAACATACAAAATCATATGAACTTTTCTTTTTATTTTTGCAAGTTTTATCGCATATTAAACTTTCCTGATGAAAACCAGAGACGCCCTGTATATAAGAAGTGGGGAATGATCCTATTTTCATACTGCAATTCTTTAGCTTAACAGATGATCAAGTGACGACAACACCAGCAAATTGTATGTTTGTAAAATCATCAGTGAGGCCAGGACTCCTCCCATATATTTTACAACACCTCTTAGCAGCTAGAAAGAAGACGAAAGCTCTTCTAAAAGACGAAACTGATCCCATGATTAAAACCGTATTAAATGGCAGACAATTGGCATATAAAATATCTGCAAATTCTGTTTACGGCTTCACAGGAGCACAAGTTGGGAAATTACCTTGTCTGGAAATATCAGGGGTAAGTATAATTCTGAGAATATCACTTATCTTAAGTGATTGTTATGCAGGGTGGCATAAAAATATGGGAACCCCCAAAGAATCTCGCGAGATATGCATTTTCTGGAAAAACCAAATATAGGGAAAGTTAGGATTTTTCCCTGGCTATTCAATGGTGACCATGCCATGACCACTGACCACGTGGTCATTATGGGGCGAAGACGATTTTTTAAAATTTTTTGACCCTGGAAATGGAAAGACCATTTCAAAATGGCGGCGAAATCAAGATGGTGGACGAAATTTTTGAAAGTTAACGAATTGTCACCAAATTTTGTATACAGAGGTTTTTGAGATCGCTGATCACGAATCAGAGGTCAGATTTTCAAAATTCAAGATGGGGATGGGGTTTTTTAAATTTGATCAATGGGGACCAAATTTAATATACGTAGGTTTTCAGGGTCACTGACCCCACGTTCGTGATCAGCAATCCCAAAAACGGCCGTAACCCATCTTTGATGCAAATCGACCGATTTTCGAAAAATTCGTCCGCCATATTGGATCCGCCATGATTTTTGATTTTTTAAATCCAACCTCGGATTCGTGATCAGCGACCTCGAAAACCTCCGTATACAAATTTGGTGACAATCGGTTAATTTTCAACAATTTCGTCCACCATCTTGATTTCGCCGCCATTTTGAAATTTTTGAAACGGTCAAGGTCATATCTGAACGTAAAATTTTCCGCTCTTTCCATTTGGGGGGTCAAAAAGGGGGGTTCCCATTTAAAAAAATCGTCTTGACCCTATAATGGCCACGTCAAAATTTAATCGAATGCATATCGTGATTCGCCATTTTCCTCAAAAACATTGCGTTTTACGAAAAAAATATCAAGAAACAAAAAAGTTTCCAAATTTTTTTTGGCTCTAAAGACAAGGGGCCTCACGAAAAATTGTCTCAAGGAGGTTCCCCACCAAAAAGCGTAGCATCATCAGATTCCACATGTCATAAAACCCCTGTGTACCAAATTTAGTGATTCTCGTACAACAGGGTTCTGAAATATAAAAAAGACTATTCTTAAGGGCAGATTTCAGGGGGCTGTAACTCCGAAAGAGGAGGCTACTTGGCTAAAAAAAAATATGGTTCTCCAAAATTTGTCTTAAGAATCTATGGTAAAATTTTGTTGCATTAATTTCGGGACACCCTGTATTTTCAAAAAGAAACGCACCCGTATGTTTTTTGTTCAACCTCGTATTTTTTTTAATAAATGATATTTTCATCTAAATTTATGTACTTCAAAATCATTCTAATTTGTACATTCCTAATCTACTTTTTGTGGTGTTGGCGATTAATGGGTTAACTGAGAAGAAGCGAAATTCAGGGATGGTAACCTAAAGATGGTGTAAATAAATATATTTTTCGTTCATGTGCTTATAATTTTGAATATAAACTCAGATGATAGTTATTTAGCAACGGTATTGGAAACGAGAAGTTGAATTTTTGTCAACATTGTTTCCAGAATTGTTTTCGTTTCTTAAGATTTTATTATATGTGTATTCTTGGTTAATTGTGCAGCGGCCTTTAATTTCAAAGTCAGCAAAGAATATATTTGAGTTTCTGTAGAGTGTTACTGCCTACGGTAGAACGATGATCGAACAAACAAAGCAAGAAGTAGAACAGCACTATCGAATTGAGAACGGTTACAAGGCTGATGCCACTGTGATATATGGAGATACCGATTCGGTTATGGTAAACTTTAAAGTTAGCAATCTTAAAGACAGCATGGATTTGGGGAAAGAGGCTGCCAAACTTATAAGTGCCAAATTTATCAAACCAATCAATTTAGAATTTGAAAAGGTAATCATAAATATTTTCCCATTCTCTTTTTTTTATGATATAATTTTTAGGTATACTTTCCCTATTTATTGATTAACAAAAAGAGATATGCAGGACTTTATTGGACCAATACTGAAAATTATGACAAAATGGACTGTAAGGGCATTGAAACAGTGCGTAGAGATAATTGCACTTTGGTTGTCGATGTGATTAATACCTGCCTTCAGAAACTACTGATTAATAGGTGAATCTACTCATACTAAAATATTTAAAAGAGATTTATAATTAACTTAATTGTAAGTCAATCATATTATTTGCAGAGATCCTGACGGTGCTGTAAAGTACACTAAACAAGTTATATCTGATCTGTTGCAAAATAACGTGGACATTTCACAATTAGTCATAACAAAAGAGTTGACTAAGCAAGATTACGCAGCCAAACAGGCACACGTCGAGTTGGCGAAGAAGATTACCAAAAGAGATCCAGGCAACGCACCAAAATTAGGGGATCGTGTCCCGTATGTTATAGTAGCCGGAACAAAGAATGCAAAAGCCTTTGAAAAAGCGGAAGTAAGTATATAACACATAATTGATATATTTATTTTATGAAATGTTTAATGAAATTTAAAAAATTAATGAGCTAAATTGACTTGAACAGTTTTTTATTATACAGGGGATTTTTTAATCCATGTCACTTCAGTAGGTTATTCCTTGGAAAGTTTTTTGATCTACGAAGGGGGACCCAAAAATAACATCATATTTAAAAAATACAGTTTATTTTTTTGAGTTACAAACGTTAGTCACCTTTGAAGACCTCTACGTAAATACTAATACTACTACTACTACTACACTATACAAAACACCTTTCATTCTCGTTCTTTCCGATGGCTTGCAGTGCCGCCTTCGATTTTCTTTGCACCTCCGAAATGTCTGGAAAACGTTTCCGTTTCATCTCCCTTTTCACAAAAAAACTCACATGGTGCTAGATCAGGTGGGTAGGGTGGATAAGGGAGTGGTGTCGTGGTTTTTCCCCAAAATATCACGCACAGAGATGGCTGTGTGAGCTGGAGCATTGTTATTGTAGAAGAACCAGTTCCTACCCCACCACAAAGCGAGCCATTTCAACCACTCTCGCGCAACCACCTTAGAATACTTAGGTAGAAGACTTAGTTCACTGTTTGATACTTAGGAATGTACTCTGAATGAACAATGCTACGAACTTTGAAAAAATATATGAACATTGTCTTCATGACCGATTTGACTTGCCGAACCTTTTTCGAGCTCGTGACCTTCGACTGTGATAACTGTTGCTTTGCCTCTGTAAAAAGTTCTCATCCACTCCCAAGTGGTCTAACAATTCGCAGCAAGCAGTGATACAAGCCACCTTTTGATCGGAAGTCGATAAGCGGAGGACAAATTTCGCCATGATTCGTCTCATTTGCAAATAATCAGCTAAAATGCATTGCATGAGCTCCGCAAAAAACCCGATAATTCAGTAAGTATATCAATAGTACGTTTTCTATCCTTGTACACAAGTACGTGAATTTTTGCAATGTTTTCATCATCAGTTCTGGGTGTGGAAGGGCGTTGAATACCTTCGATCAATATGTCGCCATGTTTGAATCACGAATATCACTTCGAAATAGTCATCGCACGAAAACTGTCTCGTGCTCGCTACAACTGCCTTAAGTGACGCCACTTGGCAGACTGACTCAGGAGGGGTTACAAGACAACAATCTAGTGGGAGAAGCCGAAACTATGCGAACAGCACGTAGCAAATTTCTTCTAGTTATTTTTGGGTTCCCCTCGTAAAATGATCTAGGGAAGAATTTCTTGAAAAAGATGGCATGGATATGGAAAACATCCTGTTTAAATAAATATTATTTGACTTTAGGACCCCATTTATGTGTTGGAAAACAATATACCAATTGATTGTAACTACTATCTCGAAAATCAGCTGTCAAAGCCATTGATTAGAATTTTTCAACCAATTCTAGGAGATAATGCGGAATCTATACTTTTGCGTAAGTTTGACATTGCAGTGTATGCAATTTTGTATTTACTGACAACTTATTGTAGGGGGAGAACATACACGTACTAGAACTATGGTAACGTCAAAGGTAGGAGCTTTAGCAGCCTTTACGACAAAGAAGGAAACATGCATAGGCTGTAAATCAGTTTTACCGAAAGGATATGAGAGCGAAGCAGTGTGTTCATATTGTAAACCTAAAGAGGCAGCACTGTACCAACAGGAATTGTGTCACCACAGAATGTTGGAGGATCGGTTCGCTTCCTTGTTCACAGAGTGCCAGAGGTGTCAGGGTTCTTTGTTTGAAGAAATTTTATGTACGAGCAGAGATTGTCCCATATTTTACATCCGTAAGAAGGTGCAAATGGAACTTGGAACGAGTACGGCAAAAATAAAAAGGTTTGGTGAGCCCATTATAGAAGAACTGTTTTAAAAATTTCGACTTAATGTAATATACTGTTTCGTTTTAATACAGTATTTTCAGATAAAAGATCGTTTTTCATCTAAAAAGTACCCTTTCCTGTAGAATATTTGTACTAGTGTTAGTACAAATAACTAATAATAGTAGTTTTTTGTATTCACACCTCAAAGTCGGGAAAATATCTGCCGTATTACAAACATCTTGTAAACTGATAAATTAGGAATTAAAATAAATGTAATAAAATGAAGCAGTACCATAAATAAGCTAAATGGTCATTCTCATTTCACTAAATTAACGTTGTCTGTTTGTTTTTTGTCTACCTAGCTTCTTGTCATATCACATTAGGTGGATTGACTTGTATAGGTAGTTCACCTAATCTAGGTCAATGTCGGAGATTATTGACACTGGGTTTCGTAAACTAAGAACAATGCTTTAAAAAAATGGTAACAAATTTTATTAAAAACTTGAAATAATTTTAAAAATTATATCAAATCTCAGATTAGTAAGTATATTTATTTATTTTTTATTATGAACATTTTATCAAACGGCAAAAATTATTTTAAAACCATAAATTGTTTTACTTACAAATACAGATCCTTCATAAATGTTTACAAGCCGTGTGACCCCCGAGCTTAAACAACCCAACATTGCACTACTGGTAACGAAAAATCCCTAAATCTTGGTGTCACCAATATTAACGATTCGTTGACAATGAACAGTAACAAACCATTATGCCTACACTCGAGATAATGCGATCACTGATTTAATGGCGAACATGAAGGAAATAAAATTACTGTTCCAAAGAAAATTGCTGGTCCCGTGGCTTGCAATCATTTATGAACGCTCTGTAGTAGTGTATCCACATACCAATTTAGTCACATAAAAAAATAATAAAAAAAAATTTTGTTCACTTCGTCTGCATCGACACCAAAATAATATGGGGACTAAAATAACATGGATTCGGAGAGTGTTCAGGACCTTCTGAAGAGATCGTTGGAAGGGTTGAAGCTGTCGGAGGAGACGATAACGGCGCCACTTCCAAGGGTTTTAATGAAGCTGAAGACAACGAAAAGGTCGAAGGTAATGACCACAACAAAAGTACTGACAGAGAATCGGCTACATTCCCAGAAATGGTTGCCGAGTGCTAAAGTCACAGGTCAACATTGGTGGTGCCATCGGTTCGCACTACAGCTCGCACCACTCATCATCATTCATGCTAATCAGGAGGAAGGATGCTTTGGTGAAACAAGCCGTAGAGGACAAGGACGGGTTAGTAACCGATATGGTGCGCATTCTCCGGGAGCATTTCCAACATATCGCCGACATGGCGTAGACACTTTGACAAGTTGGGAACTATCCAAACGAATTCTAGCAACAATAAACCAGTAACTGAACATAACAGACTACGAAGCCATTACCGCAAAAGGCGGCAAACGTGCAGTATGTACAAGCCAGCAACCTGTTGAGGAAGTGACTTCAGCCAATTGACTATACCAGTATTACCAGTAAATTTGGTCAGACATTTATTTAGCAACCTCCCTCAGTTCACAATTCACGACCCCTTTAAGTAAAGTAAAGCAGATCGAAGAACAGAGGGACATGCTATGAAAAGAATTACATAAAATGAGAGAACACATCCATGTAGACCATAACCTCCATAGCCCATCAACTTTTGATGATAGTGAGGATTTCACATCGACAGATTGTGCCTCAGAATCTTCAAGATAGTGTCGTAGGTTTTTCGGCTTTTTTAAAAAAACTGCGGGTCCTACGGAAACATTTATTCTAACTAAAAATATAGGGGAGAACGTAACACATCGACCCATGTAGATTTCATCAAATATCATTCAGAAATAACGGAGCTACAGCGATCCAAAGTTTCAAGTCGCGAATAGCTCCCAACGTCCACCTGAAATATAAATAAGGGCTCTTTCAACGCTTCAGTAGCACTTGTTACCGTGTCGAGCCAGAGGTTACATGCGTGTCGTACGTTCTTCACACTTACCTGCCTTTATAAAAAGAATTCGACTGCGTTATTTACGGTTAGCCGAGCTTTCCTAAATCAGTCCAGGTAGTTTTTGAGTCGTAGTCGAGCTTCTCAAAACCCTGACTACGTTTACTCTCTTAAGGTGGTGTGTCGAGGAATCAGACAAGTTTTTCAAAGTTTGTGTCCGTTCTGCAATACATACTATATTGATTACTTTCGTGTTTAATTTTATCTCTAAACCTGAAGTGACTATAAACTCAAATTTACTATACAGGGGGTATGAGACCCTTTGTAGAAAAGAATTTGCTGAAAAAAAAATCTAAGTTTATAAAACTAAGTGTTTGGTCGACGACGATCCCTGGACTAGAGAAGCGCTGTCCCAGCATAGATGCTGTCGAGCAGAGTATAAGCAACTCCCGGTAAGTGAGTTTTGTGTATCTGCCGAAATGAACATATAGTGAATTCAGACTAGAACTCTTGTTAAGTGAACTTTAGACTTTTCTTGATTGTTAACAAACTACAGTACTTATCTAGTGTTGGCGTAACTTGAACTCTTCAGACGAAACTGAAATAAACAAACTTATTAACTTCAATTTTGCTAAGAACATTCTGAACAAAATTGCTTTAACCTTGAGTGTTTAGAGTCCATAGAAACTTGCACCTAGTGAACCGCGAACCGCGAATATCTCTTACAGCATTCTTCAGTTGATGCAGAGCCTGACGAGTGTACCTGCGAACAAACTTTTAGCACAGCAAATATTGTTTCATATGCTGTGCTTTTAGTATTATCAGTCTTCTGTGTTTTGTGTACTTACCTACAGCGTAGCTGAGCCTGCCGCACCAGACCGAACCTACCTCAATCTCGACTACATTGGTCATGCATACACTTACCTTGTTGTGAATATAACCTCAAGAAAACCTACTACAAATTTCATGGCTTCAAGTAATTTATATACACGGTTCCATTTGATCGCACTATGAGTAGTGACGATACCCCGTTCTTGAGATTCCCTCTGGAGGACCAAGACGAGGGAAGTTCGACACGAGAATTACTCGTCTGTCGAAGTCAATAGCTCCTTATAAATAGTAACGAAAAGTGACTGCGAGGAACAATTGTGAGACGGCGGGCCATATGGACATTTTGTAAAAAAGTGTTATGTACTAAGCTTAAAATTTATAATCTTATAAATAGGTAATTTAAAGTGTATATTAATATATATTGATCCTAGATACGATGATAACACAGCCCCACAAAAAAAATTGAAATTATTTTCTCCGATATCTGAGGAGGTGCACTTAATGTTTTTGGGGTTGCTGAATCCGAATCCGGGGTCCGTTTAACCCCATCACGTCAGGGTCAAGGGCATCTGAAGGTCAAATTGCGGAATGACTATTAAAAAATCTGGAAAAATTTATATATATGTTTTCGGGGTCGCTAAATCTGAATCTGGGGTTCTCTTGACCTTGAAGTGTCAGAATCAAGGTCAAATAAAGGTCAAAACCCTAAAATTTGATGATATGATCATTTTGACCCCGGATTCTTGAAGAGCAGAAAATTTTACGTCCGAATATGTATTGACTTTTTTTTTAGAACAGACCTTTGTAGGTCACGTGATGGTCATCCAAAATCAAATCCATTTTCCAGCTTTTGGCTGTAAATTGAGATCTTGGGTCTTTGATGAGTTGATATTTTTCGGGTCGTTGATCACGATTCTGGTATTCATTTGAGCCAATCACGTCGTAATATAACGATATAATATTTTCTTACTCCGGATTCTGAAAGAGTGAAAAATTTCATCCGTGTGTTTGCATCCAGGGCACCTCCCCGTGGTGACGGCGGGCAACGGAGTTGTCCCGCTATCCGGCAAAGTCCCTGGAACAGGACGCGTATGCCGTCATGGCAAACACAACGGAGAAATTTACGATGCAGGGGGATGGAACCCCAGTATCGGCGGCTGGTCAGGGTGGGAAAGCGGGCCCGCAGGCGTCGTCATCCAGTGACCGCGGCTCTGTTGAGGTGGCTACCTTGGCCTCACCAGAGTATAAAGCTACAAGTAGTAGAACCCATAGACATGAGCATGACAACCCAAAAACCCCATATCATTTCTGTTATGTTTGTGGTAAATACGTATTCGGATGTAAAATTTTCTGCTCTTTCGGAATCCGGGGTCAAAAATATCATATCATCAAATTTTAGGGTTTTGACCTTTATTTGACCTTGATTCTGACACTTCAAGGTCAAGAGAACCCCAGATTCAGATTTAGCGACCCCGAAAACATAAATATAAATTTTTCCAGATTTTTTAATAGTCATTCCGCAATTTGACCTTCAGATGCCCTTGACCCTGACGTGATGGGGTTAAACAGACCCCGGATTCGGATTCAGCAACCCCAAAAACATATAGTGCACCTCCTCAGATATCGGAGAAAATAATTTCAATTTTTTTTGTGTGGCTGTGTAATCTATAACAATATTGGCTTCTTTATTTTTGTAATGAACAAAGGAAAACATGTCATAAGGTCATGCAAAAGTAATTTGTTTTTACAAAATTATTTTTCATTACATTTTGCTTTCTGCCACTAAGTTACTTTAATGTGGTTGGTTTAAAAAGGTAATAAATGGCAACACTGATAAATGTGCATATATAAATTAGTGTGGAAGCTGTTCAGTGGTGGCAGACACTAGTTTAAGTGCAGTTCACGATTTATAACTTGATTATCCAGCTGTGATAGTTCATCCGAATCGTCACGTACCATTGGATGCATTTTTATACAGGGTGATTGGAAAAGTTGGTACAAAATTTAAGGAGGTGAAAGTAGAGCTAAAAATAGTAAAAAAAAGTTCCTATAAACATTGGTCCTCTGGAACACCGTTACTGAGATATGGCCCTCCAAAGGGGTCTCATCATTTGGATATTTTTTAGAATAACTTTCTTTCTGATTAACATAATGGAATGAAAATTGTAAGGTATGGTAATCATACCATAAAGGCCTTTAACTATCATAAGTTTCATCAAAATTGGTTATTAATAAGAATAGTTTTCCAACTACCCTTAACAAAAATTTAAGTATTTTTTTTATTCCTTTGAATTATCAAGCAAATAATATTATTTTTTAATGAATTAGACTTTTTTGAAGGAAAAATGTCCCTACTTTCTTTTTTCGAATTCTGCGTAGTTTAGTCAGAAATAATTATTTTTTAAATAATGTGTGGCTCAGAACAGTAACGTTTTTTTTAACATTTTCACATAGTAAGCACCTTTCATGGTGACAATTTAGTTGTAATGATACTAATGATTGTCACTTTCTCGTGCTATCATTTAAATTCTTACGTTTCTTAGTTGTGATCTTTGTGCTTGACTTTGCATTTCATTCGATTTTTTTACATCCAAGAACTATTATGCTTTTACTAACAGTGAATATGCTGATATGCATTTTATTTATGGTTTCTGTAACGGAAATAGTCTGGCAGTTCAAAATGTCGGCAACGTTTCCCTGATAGAAGGCAACCTTCTGCAAGATTATTTGGGAAAATTCCTGCAACAACGATGGAATCAGGAGCCCTAACTCCAAGATATCGTAAATTTGGCCGTCCAGAGGCGTAGGCATGATTTAGACGAAGTAATTTTAGAATTTTTTTAACGTAATCCTACTGCAAGTGTAAGAAGAGCGTCTGCTGACATTTTTTCTTCAAAAAAGTCTAATTCATTAAAATATATTTGCTTGATAATTCAAAGGAATAAAAGAAATTCATTAAATTTCTGATATATCTCAGTAACGGTGCTCCAGAGGACCAATGTTTATAGGAACTTTTTTTATTATTCTTGGCTCTACTTTCACCTCCTTAAGTTTTGTACCAACTTTTCCAAACACCCTGTATATAGAGGGCTCAGAAGCCAACAGTGTAAGTCACTTTTCTCTGGAAATTGATTTACGTATTGAAGGATTCTTCTTAAAAGTTGAAATGTTTGAAATGTTATATCTCAATAAAAATAATTATTAGTATCTTTATTCTAGTTACAAGTAGCCAATTTTCTCCTTTTCTATATTCAGCGACATACACTGATTGACTTCTGAGCCCTCCATGTTACACTGTTTGAACAAAATTAAGAAATTCTTGTTACAATCCCAACCGTTGAAGCCAGTGAAGTCGCCATACTGTGCTGCTCTTCAATGTTTAAGGCCATTAATGCCGAATAACAAAACGAAATTTACCATCAACATAATAAAATTGTTTGAGGACATAAATAATTAAAATATATTGTTGGCCAAATGAACATATAATAGAAAATCTACACATTATATACAAATTATTATAATTTTTTACTTTTAGCAGAAAACTTTTAGGGATGCCTATGAGTCATTAAATTTTATTGCCAGGCATTTTTTTGCATGTTCAACTGACATTGGGAAAGACTGTACTAGAAAGTGCTAAAGCCAAACTTCTGAATATCAAATCTTATTTTATTCACTGTAGTAGGTGCCAAGTGAGAATGAAATAAAAGAAAACACAATATTAGAGTTGCTGCAACTGCAACTCGAGACTTGACTCGAGCACAGCTGCTGACTAATTTGATCGCAGCCAGAGCCACTTTTTATAGATAGACATAGGCCATGCGCACGCTGCATAGCAATACATTCTATGAAGGGTTATTGAAAATAGTTGTTTAAAAAATCTTGAGATATGTAGTCATATTTTGTGTTGTGGGATGTGGGTGATTCACTATATTTTGACCCCCTTTAACTTTTTTGTTTTAAGAGCTATAAAAAAATGTGAAAAGTTGCACGATTTTTTATGAAGTTTTCAAAAATGATAGTAGAAGAACAAATGAAGTCCAAACAAAATGACTGCAGATGTTAACTTTGTTAATTTAAATGAAACACCCTGTATATTTTTATTTATTTATTTCGAGGGTGGGGGGAAACCTGAAACTCGTGGGAACCAGTAGCTATGTTTGAATGATAGACAAGTAAAAATATAAATTGTTTATTTCAGGTAAAATTAAGTACATAAACATAATTACTGGTTAGAAAGTTAAGTAAATTCATAAAATATTTTTCTAATCAAAAAATCTATCACAGAATAATTTTATGTCAACAAATTATTTTTAATGATACTGATACTTAAAATCTTACACCCTAAAATAAAATTTGCGGTACTAAAAAAAATTGTCATTTTAATTTGGCCATATTGTATATAGCTGGTGGAATATGTATAATAATAATTTAATCATTATTAAATGTGCGTATCTATAAAACTGTACACATACCACTAAAATTAATCAAATTTGTAAAATAAAATTAGCTGTCGCAAAAGGGACATTTAAGTAAAATTTTAACAACCATCAATGACTATATATAAATACATTTATAAAAAATATAGGTAACAACTTACTAAATGCCACTCGTTAATATCATATAACTCATAATCTCATGATTTCCTTGCTGAGTAGATGTAACTAAATGTAAACGTCTTGTAAAATTCCATTTTAACGGTTAACGGACAGTCGCCAGCCTGTCTTCTTGACATACGTATTGAGCAACGTAATTACAGTAAAATATATATAAAATATATAAAATTATATAAAAATTTTGTTTGATCAACAAATATGAGATTCTCCACAATTTCCCTCCAAACCAAGTCAGTATAATTCGAGTATTAACCTACTACATTCCCGATTCAGCAATTCCTTCGTCATCTGAAAATAAACCACATAAAAAAATAGTATATCAACTCTAGAAATATAAAACAAAAATTTAACCTTCAAATCCTTGGTTTTCGTGTATTTCCCTTGAGGAACCAGAAAGATCTTTTCCTTCTAAAACTGCTAAAAGGCACTGATGAATACATATGTACTGTTGTTCGGTTTGCACCATCCACACACGTTCTTTTCTCATGGCATAAACTATTCCAAAGATGTCGACGTAGTCGCACACTAATATTTGCTGCAATATTCTATCCAAACATATAAACGTACCAGATCTACCAACGCCAGCGCTAAAAAATACCCGTATTTTCCTAACTTTTCCTTTTTCTATAAAAAATAAACAAACCTGCAATGAACCACAATGGGTCTTTGATCGGGAGGCACCCGTTCCCTAAATGCCCTTACAAACCTAACCAACGTATGAGGAGGATTAGGCACTCCAAAATCGGGCCATGTCGTGAAATGGAAGTGACGCACGACCCGCTGCTGTTCACCCTAAAAAAATGAAATGAGTTATTAACGTAACTTGAACTTGAAAGTAAAGATTCAAAAATAGTTCATTTTGATCGGAAACCTCAATAAAGTCATAAACTCAAGGAATCTGTTCATATCGGCTTTTAATTAACACCTTTTATTAAAACCAATGTCAACTAATCAAACTTAACTTATTCAAGTCGTTTTGAGAATCCTAAAAATTTGCTCTCTTTAAAACAGTTTTTTTAGAATGGGTTCCACGATAACCATTGTAAAACACGTTTTTTTTTTCCATTAACAATTACCTTTATCGGTGCATGTTCTACGGTTACCGGCTAATTGCACTTGTTCATTGGTTAGCATGCGCATAATTAACGATACCTTGAAGGGTATATGTGGAGAAATCATACGGTTTTTTTGCAGCGGGCTGACGGCCTAAGTGTCAAACCGACCAGGTCTGAATTAGCAAGTGAGACGAAGGCAGGGGTTGAAGCGAGGTGTCGAATCTGGGGATATCTCCAAAAAAATCCTTCTCACGAACGTCAGTTTTTCGGTAATATTGCTAATGCAACTAAAAATTTCCAGATTTTCCAGGGTAGGAATAAAATTAATTCTTAAAATTTGCATAATAATAGAAAATATCGTACAATCTGTGTGTGCATCGTATATAGGCATGAAATTATCCACAATGATTTTTAGGGGATGGTTTCCATGCTTATATTACAATAATCGAAGCACTGTTGTTGAGATAATCCACGTCGAAATTTGTAAAAAATAATCATCCATTTTTTGGCCGAGATGAATTTTTCAAGTCACTATAAATTACACAAATAGTTCCTGTACATCAATACACTCTGAGTAAATATACCGACAAAACCATAGGGACGTCGGTTGCCAGATGGCAGCACCAGGATCGTCCATTCCCGAAATATGAAAAGCGATCCTCCTGATATGTTAAATTAAGAAAAAAAAATCTCTCTAATGCTTATAGAAACTAAAATTGTCACTTACACGACAAACCATGAATTCACTTATATTCCAGTCAGGGTATCGAGATTCATTTAAAATTTGTACAGAAATATCACCATAATAGGCGGGCATCGTGTCATAAGGCCAATAGTGATCACATTTCTCTCTTCCCTTTTCGACGCACCGTGTCAACATAATTATAGCTCTTGAATTCGACTCCCATACCATCCTCCAAAAGTCGTCTCTTGTAGAATGCAATGGGCCTTGAGTCACCAAGAATTCTCTTGGAGAATTGTAACCCTAAAATATAAGATATATTTAAGAAACGTCATATATTTTTATTTAATACTCGTATATACGTACTGGTACATAATTTGCATTGATATAGTCCGAACCTTCTTCATCGTCTACTGGTTGTAACTTAAATCGAGAGTGATCGTAAGGCAATATGTTCGTAAATCTATTTTTAGGCCTATTGCAAGGAAGATCGGCGAAAGTACACGGTTGGTCCCTGCCTACATGTTTCAGTTCTTCAAACTCTTCGCTAAATCTAAAACACGAAAATGAAAACTTAAAATGTACAGAAAATATTTTTTTGCGATAGAGATGTCATAGTTTCAAAAAAATGTTTCTTTACTTTTCACAAGAGGTCACAAAAAATTTAAAACAAGAAACGTCAAACAATTAATTATTCTACAAGATTTTAATTAATTTAAAAAAAATGCGAGAAACATTTTTTTTGAAAATCTTTTAAAGTTCAATTTAAAACAATTGCATCTATGAGTATTTTACCTAAAATCAGAATCAGCGGACATAATCCTATAATGATTAGAGAAATTCTCTATTCTCACAGGTCTGCTGGTTTCAATTACCGAATCTGGTAGAGATATATTGTCATTATTACGAGCTTCTGTTGCTTTTCTTCCAGCAGATCTTCTACGTCTTATGAATATAACTGTTATAAATAGTATCGCTATTAATATTACTGGTATTATAACTCCTAATATTATTGGTGTGTTGTCTTGATCTGCAAATAATTATTTAGTGAATTAATGTCATGTAATAATATGAATTTATCATTAAAAAAATTAGAACCATACAATTGTTTTCTAAGCGTTCTGCTGGGCTACAGGTGTTTCAATTTGAACATTTTGTTTGTCTTTTATTTTAGATTAATCTGTTATTCATTTGAAAACAAGCGTATAGTGACAAAAATAATTTTTGTACTATACAGGCTGTTACAAATTCGCTTCTCATTATAGGGATAACGGAAAATCGTTTCCGTTATATGAACTAATGAAATTGGGGCAAAGTTGCATAATCAGTGGACCAAGAATATGCCTCTAAAAAATCAGACATGATTAGTTTTCGAAATATTTGAAAAAAAAACGAAATTTTGGAAATCCTTTTTTGGTTCATTTCAGCCTTGTTTGAGGTGATATTGAAAAAAGAACAACACATTCTCATGGCTACTTTATGCCTTCTATCGAATGGCATAATCAATTTTCAGATCAAAGTTTTGTCTTTCCAGGACCATCATCAACTTCATATTTTTAAATGACAAATTATTCTTAAAAATGAATATAAACTAAAACTCTAAATGAATATTTTAATATAGTTTAAAAAATTACAGTAAATGTTGAAAAACATTTTCATTTCGGCAAATGTTGAAAATAAAGATAACCATATGATCGGAATTTTTTACACCTGTAGCCGCAACTGTGAAAGAGCATGTCAGATATATTTGTATGAATATGCTGCAAAAAATTAGATCGGAGTTTGTTTGAATTTTGAGTACTCGAGAAACCTAGAAATAAGTATAGGCACAGGATTAAAACTCTAATAATGTTTTATTGTAATGTGTGATGATAATAGTTTAAATAACTACAGGGTCTAACAACATTTAGAAAATTTTCCGATAATTCAATAAACATGCAAATCTGAATAAAAAATTTAGATAAATTTGGAACGAATACATTGAAAATTAATTTTTCGAGACAAAATTCCTGAATCTGGTTCGGGTTGAGGCAGTACAGTACTGGGGGTCATGAAGGCTTGCAAAAAATTTTATAAAATTTCCAGGTCTGTATTTAAAAAAATTAAGCTGATTATGGTCCTGGAAATATAAAAATTGATTATGCCATTCGATAGAGGGCAAAAAGTTGCCATGAGAAAGTGTTCTTTTTTCAATATCACCTCAAACAAAATTAATTAATAAATTAAAATAAAACAAAAACGGTTTTTCAAAATTCCTTTTTTTTTTCAAATATTCCGAAAACTAATCATGTTAGTTTTGATTTTTTAGAGGCATAATGTTGGTCCCTTGATTACGCAACTTTGCCCCCATTTTAGCCGATTCGTATCTCTTACTGTTTCTGAGATCCCTGTAGTGAGAAGCAAATTTGTAACATCCTGTACAAACAAAAAAAACTAATTTTAAACCTGCATGCTTATTTTCAATTTGATTTTCAAAAACATATTTTTCAAATATTTAAAATTGTAGGAAAGGCCATTTGTGACTTGCAAATATTCTGCATTTTTAAGAAATTTAATAAAACTAAATAAAATAAATTTTGCCGAGTCATCACAACTGTAATTTATATTGTGTTTTATGTAGTTCATTGTACTTCGAGATTGGTTGACTAAGCAGTAAAATGAAACAGTGTTTTAAATATATCACTTGCGACTTCCACTGACCCATTTTTTAAATGGAAATCCTGACAGAGTTAGAAGTTTTAGCTGTACAGTAAAAATACCAGTTTTAAGTGACTTTGTAGTATGTACCTACATTAAAAGTTCCATTCTGAATCAGAATGGCACGGTACTCTCAAGAAAATGATGTGAAAGAATTTGATGTGTGTATTAATTAGTTTAAGGATTTAATGTGTACATGTGTTCAGTGTAACCAAGTGTTTGATACCTATCGATCTCCACATTCCGAGAATGGGGTGTTTTGTCCTGACCAATATATATTTTTTTGTTCTGTATGAAATCATTTACCTGGAAATTGAAAAAAAAAAAAACATAAACGTGAAATGAATTTGGCAGACAGTAGGATGTAAAAGACTGTTTCAATTGTGTTCTTAAAATGAAGTATCCTGTAATAACACGCCATAACATATTTATGTAGAATTTATGAACAAAATTGTACTAATCAAATAATAATTTAAATACAGGGTGTAACTATGAGAGGGTCAGTTTTTTAGAGGTAATAGTACGGTTTCCCTGAATACGAATCTGAAATTCTTTTTGTTTTAATCAAACAAACAGTCGAGCTATAATTAGTTTTTTAAAATGCACTTTAATTCTTGAGTAAACCGCCACTGGACGATGTAAACCGGCAACCTACAGTGCACGTGGGGGAGATAGTTCGGATTAACGGTGACGAAGCGAAGGGGGGATCAGTTGTTGTTCCGCATTTGTAGACAGTACATCAGTACATCTAACTGTGAATTTGAATGTTTTTCATCGCTGGAAGTCATCAACAGGTTGCTTTGGCTAACCTGTAGTCAGGTCTACGGGTCGTCTAAGTAGTGACTATTATTCAGAGTGAAGCGATGACAAATGTGGTATATTAAGCAGAGTCCACATTAAACTGACAAAACGAAAACAGAAAACAAAATAAAAACAAAACATTTAGGCAACAAAACAGTTCCGAAACAAAGTCCACACTGCAGACCATTTATTCAAAACAAAACAGCAACAATCATTTCATGTTTCAGTTTTGTCATTGCAGTCCTCACTAGAAGCATGTTTCGTTACCGTTTTCGTAATGCTGAAGAAGACAACGATTTCGTGTTACTGGCTGGTTATTATTATATATTTGGTTAAATTTGAAGCAGAAAAGAAGACGTTTTTGGGTGAGACCCACTTTGCGAAAACGAACGAGTTACGGAGTCGGAAATTTAATTACAGATATCCGTGAAGACGACATTGGTTTATCAGGCGAGATACGTTCTAGTTCTACCAATTTTTTACGAATGTCAAACGAAGATTTTGAAAGTTTGTTAGAATTAAACGATTTTTATAGTCACTATTTGTTGGGTCCCATAACAATGGGGTTTCTCGATACGTCTCTATTAATTTACAAGTGTTATCCACTGTCCACTTCGTTTTTTCCAACATCCTTTCACAGTAATTATATTCAACAAATGAGCACACCCGAATGATACTTTTAGTTTTGTTTCTCCGTCCACACTGAATCGACACAGTTCCTGATAAAGCAAACAAAACAGAAACCCTTTCATATTTACCGACAAATGACGGGACTCGAAAATGTTCGGGAATCCGGCGACAAAACAGAGCCGACAAAAAAATCGCTGAAATGTTGCAAATTTGTTGCAGAATTATTTCTCCTTTGTCGGTTTGATGTGGACCCGGCATTAAGGTATATTGAGTCTCGGTTAAGACTTGATAAACTAATCAGGCAATTAGACTGTGAATAGACTATTATAAAATAAATCAGTATATGTACAGTCTAATCATGTGATTACTTAACCAAGGCTTAACCGAGACTAAAAGTACTGGGCTCAAGTGTATGTAAGAACTGAGAGACCCGCAATAGCTAGCCATTTTATTCCTTGTCCAGTGTCGACCATTAGAAGTTATGTTTAAACAGAAAAGTTAAAAGTGGCAGGTTACACATTTATGAGAACTTTAAACGCCAATACGCAATGTTCCCATTTGTGCATGCGTTGTGACTAAAGCGCACCGTTATTTGAGGTACACTAGCTTGTCCAGCGGCGGGGTACAAAAATACTAAAAAAAAAGGTTAAAAAAAATTAAGTTTTCATGACAAAACTTCGGGCAAAAAAATAAACTACTGACACGTGTTTCTAAAGGTCAAAGGAATCCTCTGTATAAATATGACCTCGACTCAAAGTTACACCCTGTATGGAGCTATTAGCAAAATTGCTTACAGAGTTCACATTAATTTTTATTGCAGAGTAATATTCTGTGACAAAACATATACAGGGTGTTCCTTAATGATATGCAAATATTTAAAGGATGATTCTACTTGGAAAATTGATGATAGTTTGCTTTATAAACTATGGTCCAAAAATGTTCCATTGCAAAAATACGGGGTGTTAAAATTTTAGGAAAAAGAAGGAAATTAATTAATATTTTTGAAACCGCTCGACTTCAAAATGTCAGAAATGCAAGTGACACATTCCAGGCCAACTAGGTTTATTGAAAAATTGTATTCTTCAATATTTACTTTAATTATATACAACGGGTTTTTATTTTTTACTTAGAAACGGCGCATTGCAGGACAAAAACTCAAGAGAGCTCTTATTTTTCGAATTGAAGAGGGATTTCAAAAATAATTTTATTTGAAAAAAAAACCATTGGCGTACCATTTTTTTCTTTAAAAATATCAAAGTCTTAAAAGTCTTAAATATTCACATATCATTAAGGAACACCCTGTATATTTATGCGAACACTTCATTTTCTTAGAGCAAGCACACTGTACAATATATTTGTGACATATTAAAAGTTATTTTGTGTGTTTACAGCTACACTGGCTACATGTTAACCTTAAAGGAATAAAAAGAAGGCTTGCAATCAGTTCTAGTAAAGTTTATTCTTCTCACACGTGACAGGCAAATACATCAATTTTTTTTATTTGACAGGATTTAGGTAATCAGATTCAATACGAGGTTTAAAATAATGGAAAATTTGTATTAGCCACTGCGATATTATTTTAAAAAATCCTTAAGAATGCTCTACAAATGACGTCATGAAAAATTTTTTTAATTTTTTAGATACATGCGTGAAGTGATTAGACATAGACATTCGGTTATAAAATAAAATAGAACACGAGATTATTATGATGATTAAATAAATATTACGCTTACTCTACCAATTTATTACAATTAGTTAAAAACAATTAAAACAAAACTACATAAATTGTTATTATAATTACGAACAAATACACCACACCCTCTACTCCAATACCTTTGACTAACCACAAAATTAAACCCCGTTTACGTAAAATTAAGGTTTACACAAAACTTATATCTCTATAAAATTACATCAATCATTTTATTTACCTGTTTGAATGGGAAAACTGTAACTCGTATCTGTAAATTTATCTGGTGCAGTGAACGCTCTGATCTTAACCCTATAGATGGAGCCTGATTTTAGTGGACCATTGCAATAGCCGACTTGTCTAATATCACACGAGTCCCCTCCTATCGTAAAGTCCTCCACAGAACTATTGAAGAAGGGATAATAAGGGTCCATGACCTGGTAAGGCGGCCAAACTGAATATGCCTGTACGTCACGCCAACTTGGCATTTCCAAGCCGGAGGCATTTTTCGAATCGTCCTCAGCAACAATAATCGCATAGGATATCACCTAAGAGAAAGACATATATTTCATAGATGTAGAGGATACAGAATTCATAACGGAGAACATAAGGAAATCACTTACAGGTCCGTTAGCTTCGCTAAAGTAATTTTTTCTAAATCGAATTTGTATGGTGGTGGAGCTCTTGCAAACCTCAGTCGGGACGACCTGCATGCTAGGCTTTGGTGGAGGTAGGATAGGCATTTTTTGTTTCCACGTCGTTTCTGGCCCGAATCCTACTCTCGTTTCCGCCTGTATCTTAAAAATGTATGTTCTGCCTGGTACCAACTGCCTTATAATTCCCCTAAACTCGTGAGCATCAAAGTCTTTAGATGACGTATGATGTGAGCCCTAAAATATTTTTAACAATACAGATACAGTTTATGTATAATCGATGAAATAAGTACATTTATTTTTCATTACATGTATACATATTTATTAATAACTTACAATTACAATTACAATTTTGCTTCCTTATAAAGTTAGCATGCCATCAAACAAAATTTGTTTAGTTTTATTTTTAGGTAACTAGCGCTTTTTAAGATATTTTAACGAAGAGTCATGTCACTGATTTAAACTTTTTCAGTTTCAAAACTGAATAAGAGATCAATATGCCTCTCAAAACATGTAGAACTTTAAACCAACGATGTAGCAAGTAACCCGACAATGGGGTGTTTTCCAACTTTTTAATTACACAAAACGTAATTACTGATTTATAAATTAGAATTAGTTACTTTGGCAAATATTGAACAAGCGTCTAGTTATCAAAATTTTCAAAGAATGTGGTTTTAATTGGTATTTTACGTGTATAAATGACTTTTACACATATCTTTTGCAAATGAAAAACTGCTCCATCTGACAATGATGGTGTCCTCCAATTTCCTTCGATTATCGAAAATACTGAATAAAACCTTATTTAATGTCTAATTAATTAAGAGTGTGTCAGATAAAAAAAACACCAAAGGACTTTTCGTCCCAGAATTCCTCCTTCTTTCTACTCCTATGTGTCTGTTAACTATTTTTGGGACACCCTATGTTGTAAAATATTTAAAGGACTATATTTCCGTAAGTACTGCACTTTTGAATAAAGGGTTTATCTGAATCATAACAAAGTTTAACACAGTTACTAATCTAGTGAAAGAGTGGGTGAAATTTAATTGAATAATATAGGCCAGGAAAAAGAGCTGGGAAATGACCACTTCGCGACTTTTGTTTTTCGGCAAGCTGAATTTATCACTGTAGATGCTAAATATTATGCACAATAACATATTAGTTTCCACAGTCATAAAAATGGGGGGAAGACTGTTTACAGGGTGGTTAATTGTATAATTTTTACGTAAATTCACGTTTTTCGCTTATAACTTTTTTCCGTTTATTTCCACATTATTAAATTTTTTAGTCGGTTGGAAAAAGGAAATATACGACGCGCGTGATATAGTTATATATTATTACATATTCCGGAAAGCTTATGAAAAGAGCTTTAAGTTAAAAAAAAGATCGTCAAGATTCGTTGAAATACAACGGAGTTACAGACTGTCAAAGTTGACGGCCTATTGTTAAACAAATTAGGTTGGTAGCGGCAAAAAAAAATAGTGTCATAACCGGCAACACGAGTACTTTCGCAGATAAAAATATTTTATTTGTGGAAGTTTGTTAAGTGCATATTGTTAAAAGTCAGTGGGTCGCTTAATTTTTCAGCGAATCGTGGCGCGGTGGGAGGGTGGGAGAAGCGAACGACAGCGAGTCCGAAGAAAATGACGATAATATTCATAGTCCTGCCATTAAAAAAGCGAAATTTACTAGAAAATAATATATTTGACAGTCTGTAACTCCGTTGTTTTTCAATGAATTTTGACAATAGATTTCAATGTATTATTATGAAATCTACCATGAAAAAAATCAGTGCGATTGTGGAAGATGCTCGGGATCGTCCAGACTAATAATTAGTTAATTTGTTTATAAGGCCATAACTTGTAAACTATTCAACTTACCGATTCCAGATTTCGTGCGAGTTATTAAACAGTGATAAGGAATGATAGGATGCGATGCCAAAACGCAGTTTATAAATGTTTAATTCAAAAGTATAAATAAACTTCTTCTGTTTATAACTTTTGATCTAATTTTTTGATGCTCGAGGGCTACTTTTGTAGGTCTTTTGAAGACGAAAAAAAAAGTACTTTACTGTTTTCTCGTGGAAATAAATGGAAAAAAGTTATAAGCAGAAAACGTGAATTTACGTAAAAATTATAGAATTAACCACCCTGTAAACAATCTTCCCCCCATTTTCATGACTGTGTACATTAATATGTTATTGTACATAATATTTAGCGTCTACAGTGATAAATTCAGTTTGCTGAAACAAAAAGTCGCGTCCAACTCTATATTTCCTGGCCTAAATAATACTTTTCTACAACTGATAATTGCTGTAGAAAATTCAAATCCATTTTCCTTTGAAACAATGTATTTTAACGATATGCGACAAGAATGTTTTTTACGGTAATTGAAGTAACCTTTCGCAAGATATCTGCAAAAAAAAACAAGACTTTTTGGTATTGTTAACAACCCTCATATTTTAGGTAAAAAAATAATATGTACAATTTCACCTCCCCAAAAATCATTGTATACTAATGTCATTTAAGTATTTAAAAAAGTCATTGTAAATGAAATAAAAACTGTTTTTTTGAAGGACCATGATTTCTACGAAGCAAAACAACTATTTGCTCTAATTTGGTTTAGATTTATCCAGAATACTTTTCAGTATTTTTTTCAAACACACTGTATTAATTGGTTTATAAGAAAAACAATATTTTGTACAATTTATACGTAGGAAAATAAATAAAACACATAAAATTTCCGATATGCTTACATTTTGCTTACCTCTTGTTCGTAAGTAATAGTAAATTTTCTAATGACTCCATTTTGTTCCGCAGTTGGCAACGACCACTCAAAAAGTATATCACTAGGCTGAATATCAATAGGTTCAAACTTCTCGACTTTTCCAGGTATGGACTCCTTTGTTGTAAATATCGCAGATACCGGTAGAGATCTCCTTAAAATGCTAGATTCTGTACCACTCCGTACTATCACAGTGAAAGTATAATTTCTATGAGGCTTCAGGTCATTTATTGTAATCGAGTTTTGTAACGTTAAATTTTGAATAAACACGTTTTCGGAAGTTAGATATTGCACTTCAAAGGCATTGTACTCGCCGCGAGGCGATGCCCATGCCAACGTTATTTCAGTGTCCGATATATGGGTTGCATTGATACCGGTTATAGGTTCTGGATCTACAAAAATAATTTGTTAATGACGAATATTTCTGTTACGATACAGTCCGCTTACATAATCTATCCTGTCTTTGTAAAGGTTGACTGAGAACGTCCTTTGAGATGGTCCACACGGTAATATTATATAATCTACCTGGTACGAGCCCCGTAAAGGTAACTAATCTATCTGAATCATTCGCAGCTTTTTGTTGATCGGGAATGTTTGATTCGGAAAGGGAGAACTTATAAAAATCAAATTTTGACGAAACCTGTGGGGTTGGCGTGTATCGTAGACTGATAGAATCTGTAGACTGCTGATTATTTACTACCACTACTTCAGATTGTATTAAAGGCACTGAAAACAATTAATCGTCAGACTAAAACAGTTTTATTATTTATCTACTTACTTGTTCTTGTCTTTAGTGTTGTTATGTCACTCTCTAAATCATAAGAAACAGCTTGTATGTAAAATTTATACTCAACACCTGGAATTAATTCCCCCACTAATATTCTTATCGGTCCTGTATCATTTTGACTTTGACTGACATTTCTAGAGTTTAATTTCGTGGGATTCGATGACTCTTCCCATTTTACAATGTAGGTCTCGACTCGTCCGTCAGGTCTTGGCCATTCTAAGGTTACGTTATTGGAGTCCACCAGAGGTGCGATATTCGAAACAGGATTTGGTCCTGGTAAAAAAAAAAGTTTTAAATTTTAAGGTTCCAAATTCTAATCGCACGGTTTTACTTACGAACTGTGTGGTTTAACTGTTGCGGTTCGTTGCTTTCTAAACCGTAACTCACGGTATTAACCTGAATTGTGTATCTTTCTCCTGGTGTCATGTCTGTTACTTCTGCCTCAGTATTTTGAACGGGAGGTAATTTTATCCACTGATTTATTGTGTCTGTTCTATATCGAATCGCATATTCGGAGATTAATGAATCGGCGGGAGCTGCCCATTGCACGATCACAGAGTTTGTGGTGGTTTTTTCTATTGACATATTTGTTGTAGGTCTTGGAACTAAAAATATGTAGTTATATAACTATTACTTCTAAAAATAGTGTTAATCAATTTTTCTCCTTTCTTGTTCTTCTTAAAACTTTTTTCAATACGTACAGGGTGTCCCAAAATTTCATGAACATAGAGCTCCCAGAGATTTTTGTGATGAAAATGACACAATTTTTCTAAACTTATTTCTATCCAAAGTTGATTGGTCTAACCACTAGAGGACGTCAAAAATGGCAAAACAATTTTCTTTTTTTTTTTAAGTAACACTGAAACACTTTGATTTAAATATTTGTGGTTGTTTATAGGCTTACATAGAAGAGTTGACCAGTTGAATACTGTAGATTAGTGTGAATGTAATTGCACGCAATAATAAATCGTGGTATCTTCAGGACTTCTTGTTTTTTTTTTTTGTTTTACACAGTTGTATAAAAAAATTAAGAAGTCTTATCTGTTTTATATTGGAAGACAGCCAATAAAATGCACACAAGGTACATAGAAATACTGTTTTCTTATTCAAAAATTGGATGCCAATGGTGACGACTAATAAAATAATTAATTACATGAAGGCCGTTAGGAAAACAAAATATTTACGAAAAATATATTATCTGTTTTATATTGGAAGACATCCAATAAAATGCACACAAGGTACATAGAAATACTGTTTTCTTATTCAAAAATTGGATGCCAATGGTGACGACTAATAAAATAATTAATTACATGAAGGCCGTTAGGAAAACAAAATATTTACGAAAAAAAAATTGAAAAAAACTTTTCTGATATAATAAACTCAAATCGTAGTCACCTGGAAAAGAGTTCTGTGTATTTTAACAACTTCAGTTACTGAAAGTGCTGCTGAGTCATCGAGTGCTGTTGAAAACTTATGGTGAACATACTCCATCGATAAAAACGTGTGAGTATTGGTTTCAACATTTTAGAAGAGGTGATTTCGATACAGTTGACAAAGAACGCTCTGGTCTACTGAAAAAGTTTAAAGATGAGGAATTGGAAGTACTACTCGAACAAGATTCATTTCAAATGCAAGATGAAGTTGCTGAATCGTTGAATATTAATCGTACAACCGTTTCCAAACGTTTAAATGCCCTTAGTATTATTGAAAAGTAAGGAAATTGGGAACCATACGAATTGAAGCCACGAGATGTTGAACGGTGATTTTTCACATGTGAACAATTGCTTCAACACCAAAAAAGAAAGGGTTTTTTGTCTTATCGTCACTGGCAATGAAAGATGAAGAAGCTATGGTAAATCTAGGTGTAGAAAATCATGTGTTTTATCTGATCATGCATCAATATCAACGGCAAGACTGAATTTTCATGGTTCGAAGCTCATGCTCTGTATTTAGTGGGACCAGTTTGGTATTGTGTACTATGAGCTCCTTCAACCAAATGAAACAATCGCTGAACTTTACCGAACACAATTGATGTGTTTTGAGCCGTACATTGAAGGAAAACTGTGCAATTTGAGCAAAGGCATGATAAAGTAGGTAATTTTTCAACATGACATGTTTCTCATCAAGTCAAAAAATACTTAGAAATGCGATGTTTTACCCATCTCCTATATTCATCAGATATTGCTCCATTGGATTATTACTTGTTCCGATCCATGGAACTATGGTCTAGCTAAGCAGCACTTCCAAACTTACGAAGATACGAGAAAAATTGGATTGATTGGTGGATCAAAAGATGAATTATTTTTTGACACGGAATCCCTATGCTGTCAAAAAGACGGGAGAAAGTAGTGGCTAGAGATGGACAATATTTTGAAAAATAATATTGTACACAATTTTTCACAATAAAGCCTTGAATTTACAAACAAATCCCTCAAAATTCATTCACATTGTAAAAGTATACTAAATTTAAATTAATTTATATCAAAAGGTTATTTGCAATTTTTGTATTTTCTAAATTTTATGCCCTATAATGGCTACACGAAGTGACTTTGGCTACACGAAGTAACTTTGGCTAAAAGTAAGTTTAGTTAAATCATCTTATCTTGCCCCGAAGAATCTGTGGGAGTTCCATGAACACAAAATATTGGGACATCTATATGATCGACGTATTATAAAAATAAATATTAAAATGCAGCCATAAACTTACAGACAGGTTGAAAGTACTCGTGTGGTTCACTTTTAAGTCCGTGTGAAATAGCAAACACTTTTACAAGATACCCTCCTCCTGGATACAGATGTTTCAAAATAATTTTAGAGTCATACGTAGTTCTGATACTTTTCTCATCGGTATCGTTTCTTATCCACTGAACTTCGTATTTATCTTGTTTGGAATTTACGTCAGATTTCCAACTTATATTTAATCCATCTATTATAGGTTTTAAGTCTTCAATAATTGGTGCGCTTGGTTTAGTTGCCACGTAAATCATATTTTCTACGGATAGCTGATCTTTGGAAACGGCTTGTACTGTTACAGAGTAATTTCTTCCTGGTAATAAGGCCTCGAGAGTTATTTTGCTTTTATTTGTTGGGATGGTGTTGCTGTCACCAATAGTACTTTCTACCTCGTGATACGAAACTAAATAACTTTCCTGTGTACTTGTTGGATTTGGAGTCCAGGAAATGGATATGGCCCCACTACTTTCGTCATATTCAGAGACTAAATTTTCAACACCTAATGGCTCTGAAATATAAAATATTACTTTATGTGCTGAAGTTTCATAGTTCTACAATGTTTAAAATGTTGGTACAGCAGTATTGCAGAAAAAATATTTTTAAAATAACTTACCTCCTATTAGTTTACTTATCAGTTTTAGCAGTTATTGAAATTAAAATATAAATTACATTTTATTTAATTACTAACTCTTATTCTTTTACTGCAGAAATGGTTTAGACAAATTATTGTGGATAATTAATTAGGTGATGATTTTTGTCCATAGATGTAATACATAGTTGGAAACAAAATATTATTTAATGATTTCATTATGTCGGAAACATGTTTTTTTTTATTGGTACTATTTGGACATATTTCTTTGGTAATTATTAATTATTTCTTATTTACTCTTAATATCTTAGTAAAGAATTACCTTACACTTCAAAAACGTCTTACAAATTTAGAAATAATATTAAACACTTCAAAAACAATTAATACATTTGGAAATAATCATTTAACATGCTTATTTTCGTTTAAACACTACAAAATGTATACTAAAATCTGGAAAACTGAGAAAACCTGGAATTATCAGGCAATTTCATGGATCAGGAAATATCGGGAATTTCTCTAATTATTTAATGGAATTTTTTTAACTTTAATTATAACTGGTTTTTATTTACGAGGTGCTACCAATGGATGTTATAAATTTTTTATTATAATTTAAGAAAAACATTTTTTTTTTGTCAATACCAAATAAGCACTTAAGTAGATAGATATACTGTGGAAAGTGGCGTATTAATCATCAAAATGAAAAATAGTCCATAATTTTAAAATTTTTCAATAGTGGTACATTTGGACTACTTACATATTTTTTTAGAGTAGGCACATCAGTATAAGTTGAGGTAATGATTTCTCCGTCAAAAAAATTCCCATTTTTTTTGAAAACTGTATTTTAAATTTTAGTTTGGCACATATAATGCCATTTTCTTTTATACCAAAATTCTCTTAATACGTGTGACTATGGTATACTTTGATACCATAGATGCGGGTTACTTGAGCACGTTGTGGTAACTCGAGATACAAAATCGTTTTCTCAGAAATGTTTTGCCCACTCTCTATCAATCGAAAGTTGAACAACAAAAAAGTACCTATGTAGGTTTCTCTGGCTTTTTATGACGCATAACACTTCTAGCAAGTGCCCACTTATGCAAAAAAAAAAATATTGAAAAAAGGTGAGTAAAATGTTTTTTTAACCCTTACTACTTTCTCTTACCCTTGACAACTGGTTAGGGTTACCAAGTTACACCTTGTTGCATTTGATTTCCTAGTCATTCAGCTTAATTAATTACAAGGTTATCTGAAAATATTAAGCGATCCAGAGTAGAAGTATCTATACGCATACTTGAAGAATATTTTAATAAATTAGAAGTTATTCTGCAAGGCATACTGACAGAAAACCTAGTAAAATTATGACGAGACTAATTTCTTCAAAGACCCCGGGCAAAGTAAAATCATTGCCCGTCGTGGTGTTAAACATGCCGAAAGAATTATAGACCACTCGAAGAGCTCCACCTTGGTAATATTTGCTTGCAGTGAATCCGGTGTTCTTCTCCCTCCATACGTAGTATATAAATCCGAACACCTATGGCAAACATGGAGGGAAGGTGGACCCAAGGGATGTCGGTATAACCTCAGCAAATCTGGATTATTCGACCAGATTTTATACAAAGATTGGTTTTTTAAAAACGCACTTCCATATTTTAAAAAACTAAATGGACCTACTAATTGGAGATAACTTAGCGAGCCACGATTGTCTCAATAAACGTCATAAAATCATGTAGTGACAACAACATTCGCTTTGTCGCGTTACCTCTTAATAGTACACATCTCACTCAGCCTCTCGATGTGTGCTGTTTTCGTTCCATAAAAGAAACTTGGAGAAGACTTCTGAAAGTGTGGAAACAGAAAAATAAGGGTCCTATTAGGAAAGATATGTTTCCAAGTCTGCTCAAATCTACACTAAACAAGATTGGTGCCATACTTGAAGAAAATATTAAATCGGGCTTTCGTGCGACAGGTTTGGTCCCATTAGATAGAAATGCCATATTAAAGAGAATCCCCAGGCAAGACAGAACTGTCGACAGTTCTGCTTTAAATGACTCTTTGAAGGACTTGTTCCAAGAAACGCAATTTGGCAAAAATGATCAAAGCCACAAAGATCCAAAAAGAAAAAGTTGAATGTTCCCGCAGGGAACCCCGATGTACCTGACGAGAGCGAAATAGAAAAAAATGAATTCATTTGTAAACTTTCCACCTCGAGTCAAACCTTGAGAGGTGCAATAACTTTGGAACCAAAGAATATTTATTTTTATTTGTTATAGCCAGAAATATTAAGTTTTTTTAAATTTTTTACGTTTATATACCCTTATATGAATAAATAACTTTTTTTAAAATAATAAAACCGTCTCAAGTAACCTTTTTTTAACACATACTTGAAATAAATGTGTAAATGCATAAGGTTTTTCAAGTAACCCGAACGATAGGGTAACTTGAGACACCGACATTTTATTTTCTTTTGCCGAAAATATTGAAGTTAAGTTATAATTATTATATGCAATCGATAGAGGAAGGTATTTCATATAAATTCCCAATTTTTGCAAATCAATTTATTGCCTTTTAAATATTCTATAAACAATTTTGTTTGAAAAGTGTACTCGAGTAACCCGCATCTCGGTATAAAAAATTATTGCTAGTTTTTTAATTACAATAAAAAAGCTCCCCATTTGGTACAAATTTAATAACAGTCAGTGTACAATTTTTGAAAAAATCATACCAAAAAAAAGAGAAATGGTGAAAAATGGAAATCTGGAAAATTTTTCAAATCTGCCTGGAAGTATTTGGAAATTTAAAATATCTTAAACATCTGTACAACAATCTCACACCATTTAAAAGGACATTCTGTGGGTTGTTAACTTACTTAAAGTCACATCTGCAGTCACTGGCCAGGATGTAACTTTTCCAGAAACAGTTTTAACGATTACTGAATACGTTTTTCCAGGTTCTAAATTATCTTTGAATTCCCAAAATGTTGGTTCCTCTTTTGGTCTAGGCACCGGTAGTGACTTCCGGCCATTATTTATGGATACTTGATACTTATCAAATTCACTAAAACAATATTTTAATGTTTTATGAAGTAATAATTACATTATCCCAAAATATATTATTATACTTATATTAATTCTAATTAATTTAATAATCATTTTAAAGTATAATAACTTATAGATAAAATAGAAGATAACATAAAAAACATTTACTTATAACATTTTGTCCGGATAGAATTTAGTGTTACCTTTTTCCATTTGGTGCTTCCCAATGAACGACAAAAGAGTAAGGTGTCATTTTACTTTTATCAAAGGTGATTTTTTGAGGTTTTAAAGGAACGGTTCTGTATTGTGCAGTCGTAGGAGTAGAAATTTCATCCTCCGACATTGTCTGAACAGATATATTATAAGCTCTACCAGGAACAAGACCTTTGAAAGCAGCTTGTGCCGGTCCTGGAGGCTCTCCTTCCTTTTCAACGTAAAGTACACTATCATTTGCATTTGGTGGATCTATAGAAACCTTATAATGACTATATATACCTGCCGGATAAGGGGGCTGCCATAAAACTAATAAAGTTGTTTCATTTCTAAACCATACTATAAATTTACCAGGTGTATTTGGTTCTAAAAGAGTAGAGGTATTGAAATTTGGAACTGTCTACTCGGTAGATTGAATGACTTACTGGTGGTAAAATTTCTAGATGTGTACGCTGCGCTTTCTTTATTTTCAAATACCGTGAAGGCTTGAATTTGATACGTTGCTCCAGGAACAAGATCGTTCAGCCTGTATTGAGTACCATCTACGTTTTCTATTGTAAGAGTTTGTGTTTTTGGATCGGGAATGTGAACTAAAGGATTAATTTTTAATTTGAAACTTGTGAAGCTGCCTTGTGCTGGAGGATCCCATGATATTATAGCTGACTTTCCATTACGAACTTGTACCGAAAGGCCTGAAGGGGGGTCTGGAACTAAAGCAAAGTCGAAGGTTTTACTTTCTGCTGTTTTATGTGCACGGCAAAATATTCCTTGCACTCTTGCATTCATGTAGTCTAGCTATTATCGTAATTTTGACAAGTATTTTACCTGTAGTAAAATTCGCTGTCCAAGTAAGAGTATTATGCGTAGCATTAGAATAATACAACCAAAAATCGTATTTGGTTCCCGGTAACGCTTGAGAGAATTTGATGACATCTCTGATGTCTTTTGATGCGATTGTTGTATTTGGAGCTGGATATCCAAATGGAGGATAATAATCCAGTCTATAAACTACACCATCTTGTCCTAAATTTCCTGGAATGTGTATAACTAGTTCTGCACCTAATATCACCTACAAAATTTGTAAAAGTAAGGACATTAAAAGTATACATAAACATTGTGATGCAACATGCAGATCACTGTGTTAAATCTTGCGACAGGGAAGTGTGAGACAAATAAAAATTAGGTTTTGTACTCATATTTTAAGTATAATTTAGTAATACAAATAAATTCTTGCTAACATTATTGATTTTCTATATGTAAGAGATTTAGTTTTTAGTTCAGAACAGTTTTATCCAACTTTTCCTTTAGAATGCTTTGGCATACTTTTATCTTAATGTTATATTTTTGAAGAAAATCTGTCTACATATTTTACAAATTGTGTTTAATTATGCAAATATCTTTCAAATTCTTAGAAACAGCCATGTATTGTTAATGATGTTGAACAGTTGTAAGGAAATTAAAATTTTGCAGTTCCTCGCAGAGACAACATTACAACTTTCTACTTTAGTTATTAATCATTCTAATAGGTATTAGATATTTAAAAAAAAATTTAATGAAATTTCTATTTCATATTAAATATTAACCAAACTTATATTACTTTGTTAAACTTAACAATTAACACATTTTGGATTCTCGCTATTCAAAAAAGTGACTAATATATAACAATTACATTTACTAAGTATGAGTAAGAGTTTTCTATTAATTTTTTCAAGTTTTTAGAAAATTTGGAATTTTAAGAAACATGGTTCTAAAACAATTATTGGAAATATGTTTCATAATATTAGCTTGCCAAACTTGATTACTAGGATTCTACATTAAAAAAAAAACAGGTTCTGAAAATACTTCCTCAGGGAGCAACAGTCCTTGAAGGTGCATCTATGAGGATTTTTACTCAATATATCTGAAGCTTGTAGTAATAAACCAATATAATTTTAGAGATATACCTACTATATTATTCTCAATAAGACGTGTAGTCAATTATTCTAAAATTTTATTTGGAAATATGTAGTCAAAAGTACTGGGTGGTAAAAACTACTGCAACTTTTTTGTGGGAAGTTCTTTTAAAGGTTTGTTACAAAATTTTTAAAATTCTAGAATTAAAACATTAGACTGCAATAGTTTTCAAGTAAAATCATAAAAGACCTTGAAAATATAAAAATTACCAAATCGGGTGTCCTTTGATTAGCCTGCCAACTTCATCACTAAATTCTTGTTCAAAAACAAGAAAAAAAAGGGGCTTCAGGCTCTCCTTAGTGGAGCACAATCAAGATAATTAAAGATCGATTTTAATTGAAGAACAGTATATTCAATCGGAGTTCGATAAGAGACCCTCTTTTTGTGAAAAAAACTGTAACAGTTTTAAATTTCGTATAAAAGTTGTAACTTTTACCACCACCCGTTAGTTTTTACCTATTTTAAAATCTAATTTTAGAATAATTGTCCTTGTTGGGAATAAGATAGCAGACCTCTAAAATTTTATTTATTTATTTCTAGCAGTCACGGAGATATCGAATAAAAACCCTTCTCAAGGATGCATCTTCAAGGGTCTGTTTTCCTTGAGAAAGCATTTTTGGGGCCACATTAACTAAAACTTGTTATATTTAAATATAACATCAGGTGAAGTTTTACAGGCTAATTATGAGACTCCCTGCATATTACTCACTACTTTAGATTTGAATTAAAAAAAAAAAACAGCTTTAACAATTTCTGATTTTGATACATACATTCCATTAAAAGTTAAGAAAATATCAATGCGATATTGTGATTCACATTCCTATCCCTCAGCTTGGTGAATCATTGTGTTCTTCATTTATATGTGCTTAATTAGCATATACGAGTATTATTTTTATTATCAGGATATAAAATTATTCAATATCCTTCAAATGTTTTTCAATTTACAAAACAGACATTGGATGACAGAAACTTACTGTTTTAAAAAATATCCTATTTTATTATTTTTCTAAAAGTTAATACATGCAGTGTGCTGATAAAGTTTTGCAGTGTTCAAAAGTTTAAAGAATCCATTTTTGTTAAAAGACCTTAAACACAAAATCTGAAAAAATTTAAATTTTTACTTCAGTCAATGTACCCAATCAAAAAATAAGGATAATGTGTTTGAGTTCTGCAAAAAACAGTTTAATAACAAAATTAGGAATATTGTGTGATTTTATATCACCACTCGGCAAATGGTTAATAATTTTATATTTTTTTAATTTTAATTTAAACATTTATCATATCGACATCAAATGTACCAAATGAATAAAGTTATATAGAATATAAGTTTTTTAGACAGCTAACGTTAAAATGTTCAGAATATCACGCATATGCAATATGTATCAGTTAACAGATGTAAAGTTCAGTGACATCAAAGAATTATATTTCTTTTACAATTTCTATCCTACCACATTTTTTATGGAGTCTGTTAGCTTTCGATGGCATATAAGTACATATACCATAAAACAAATCATGTAGCTGCCTTCAGAACTTTTGGTATCTTTCATGTTTATCCGCGAAAAAACTGAACTTCAAAAATTTTTTATTATTCATCATTATCGCAAAAATTGTGAACATTCCATTTTTAGGTAGTTACACAGTAATTCAAAATCAGTGAGTAATAAAAATTCCAGAAATATTTCCAACTTTTAAGTTCACTGAAAGTGTATAATGATTTGACCAAATTATTCAAAAATGTTGTTGAAAGATACTAGTAATAATCTTTACATTAAAATTAATTTTTTTTTAAACAACGCACCTTGCAAAATATTTAGTAAAAATTGTTCTTTTATTTAAAAAATTTTTACATTCTAATTTTTAAATGATTAAATGATTTACTATTTATTTCGAAAAATAAGCATTCAAACTTCAGTAGCATTTAATTTAGTTTCAACAGTTTTTTTTAATGTTGAAAATGCTGCTACCATAATGATATTTGTGATACCTTCCAGCCTGAACGTGTAATAATAAAAAAATTTGTATTGTGTTTTATGTAGGTACTAACTGATAAAAGTCTGAACACTCGTGCCAAAACAATAAACTTTCTGAGGTAAAGGTAAACACTAAGGCAATTTAAAGAACCAAATAAATGAATAAATAAACATAAAAAGTCGAAACAGAAAAGTTTACCACTCATTTTTATTACTTCACATTTATTTAACTTAAATCAAATTCATATAAATATGACAACTTACAATAAATGTTAATTTAAAAAGTTCTTAACAAAAATTTGGTAATTTCTATAAATTGCCTATGCACTTAACTTGTTTTTCATGTACGTACATATAATTGATGACTTATAAATATAAGAAGTTGTTGATTAGTTGTGTCCTTCCCATTTTTTTGATTTTTTAATTTTCTGTATTTTTGGTATATGTTTTTAAATTGAGAGATTGAAATGTAAGTCTTTCGAACAGAAATGTATAATTTTTAAAATTATGTCAAATTTATGTTAAAAAAAAATTCAAGAAAGAGAAAAGCAGTTAGTTTTTGTAGAAAATAAAAAACTCCTAAAAAATTATATAAAATATATACCACCATCAAGAGAAGTTGACAAAAAAACTGTAGACGATAGAAACAACACAGACAAGAAACAAGACTGTTCAAGTGTGTAGAGGAATCAAACAATGTTTTCAATTGAGTATGAAATTAATTAAAATTCACAGATGGCAACAATGCAGAAATATTCTAATACAAATAAATAAAAATTCAGGTATAAAACTACAATGACAGAAATTATTAACTCAGAGAATAACACTCCTGCAGGTGTGTATGCAACAGCTCTTACTACTTGGAAGGAAGTAACTAGAAGATCCCAGCAAAGAATCAGAATTGTCGGAACAATAAGGACTCGGTCGTGGTGATTGATGTCCCAAAATAATGTCGAGCTGCACGTTAGTAGAGTCAATCCTGTTATTTCAATAAAAGACATGTACAAGCTGTTAGTCAACTTCTCAAAGGTAAAGATTGAACCACATCACACCACACACCACAGCATTCCAGCCTTGCTGTAGATGTGCTGTACCATACTTATTAAATCCTATTGTCTTTGATAATACCTTATTTGATATTTTCTTAATAATTATTATTTTCTAAAGGTTCCTAAGGAAATGCTACAATAAATCCATCATGATGAAGTCCACTCTATTGCTGAAATGAAGTATATTAACCATTTTACTTTCTTTTTGAATCCTTATGATTCAGCTGAACTGTAGAATCTTCAAACTGAAAATCTAAAACCTAAATGGTCAGCTGGACCCGACCACTGGACCAGACAATGATCTACCATAGGTAACTAAATATGTTCTAAATGTACTCAATGAACCACTGACTTATTTGATTAATGTCTTCTTCTAATGGCATCTTTTTGGAAATATTAAAAGCTGGTAATGATTCTGACATACAAAAAAAAAAAAAACAAAAAGTACTGATTTAATGGAAAATTCTCATCCAATAGTTTTGTCTAATTCATTTAATAAATTGTTTGAATATCCTCTGCTTGACAGATTAACTGTTTTTCTGAGAAAATGATATATGCTTACAGCTCTTTACAGTTTTCTTGACAATTTGATTAATTATACAGATTTAGGCAAATGTCCTACGACCACTTTTTGTGACTTAAGTAAAGCTTTGGTTGCATGAACCATAAAAAGCTACTAACTAAACTGAATGGAAGTGGCATAAGAGTAATGCTAAAAAGTTGATACCAATGATTTCTAGAAAACCGTATTCAATTAATGTTTATATATAGATTAAATATGAAAACACTATTGGTAAATTCCGAAACATCAACCGCTCCCATGCTCACGGGAGTCCCACAATATTTTATTTTGGGTCTTGCACTCTTCATACTTTACATTGATGACATTGATTCAGTTATAAACAGTCAGCACAACATTGCCTATGCAATTTTACTGTTATTGTCTTTGGTCTGAAATATATCTTCAAAAATTTACCCATACCACTTATACCTATATATTAAAAACTTCATATTCAACGTCCTGTATCTCAAAAGCCGAAGACCAAAAGCTCATAATTTATAGGAAAAAAAACTTTAAATAATTTGATGTCCTTGAA